AGGCGGGAATCGAACTCATGCGGAAGTGGCTTCAGATTCTCAGTGCTGCGCTTCAACCCGCTGCGCCACCAGGGAGGGCCTGCTTTTTTTTTTTTTAATATGTATTTTGTGATTACAGGTCTTACATATTTGGGTCTTTTATCTTTTCAGAGTTGGCTTTTGTGTATGGTATGAGATAGGCTAGTTTTATTTGTTTGCTTATAGTGATCCTTTTCCCAGCACTTTTTATTGAAGTGACTGTCTTTGTTCCAGTGGTTATTTTTTGCTTCTTTGTCATAGATTGGTTGACCATATACATGCATCTTTATGTCTGGGTTTTCAGTTTGATTCCATGGATCTGTGTGTCTGTATTTGTTCCAGTACTATGCTATTTTAATTTTTATGGCTTTTCATATAGTTTAAAGTCTGGACATATAATACTTTTATTATCTTTTTTTATTCAGGAGAGTTTTGGCCATTTGGCCATTTAGTGGATCCATATGAATTTCAGCAATATTTGCTCTATTTCTTTGAAGAATGCCATTGAAGCTTTTATTGGAATTGCATGTAAATTGATTTTGGTAGGATGGTCATTTTAATGATGTTAGTTTTGCTGATCAATAACAGGGAATATCTTTACATTTCATTGTCTTCTTTTTCTTTTATCAATATTGTTTTCTCAAATGAGATTGTTAGGGAAAGTTGTAGAATTAGAAGTAGTTTAATAATTCTTGAATTGATGCCCTGAGATTAAAGTGTGAATACCTGTGTTCATCTTTTTCTATTAAACTTAAGACCAGAATATACTTTGGGATGACTGAATCCATTGATACATGAGTATATAATTTTGAGTTAATACTAGAATAGCGACACATTTCTGTTTTTCTATGTGAAGAATTAATAGGCGATGTGGAATTTGGTATTTTTATCTAGTTTATGTGTATTTTGGAGTTTGTATATCTTAACTCTAAAAGAGTTTAATTAATGCTGTTAATGTACTATTACATCGTGTAAGGTGAACTAGTTGAAAAAACATGTTTTGTTAAAAACTTTTAAGTATAGGAAAAATAAAAAATTAATTTGTCAAGTTAGGATTATATGAAGTACATATTGTCATTTTGCATCAGCTAGACCTGGGTTTACTTGAAAGATGTAAAAATAAATCTTAGCTATTTAATGGTAATCCCAATAGTTAACACTTTTTTTATCTATTATCACACCAGAAATACCAGAATTTGCAAAGCTTACCCATTTCCTTAAAAATAGGAAAGAGGGCCCTCCTTGGTGGTACAGCGAGTTAAAGCACTGCACTAAGAAGCGTAAGCCACTTCCACATGAGCTCGATCCCCGCCTGCCCTGGAGGAGAGCCACATGGCGTGGCAGACCTCTCCTGACCCGCCCCTTGCTCCCCTCAGCAGTGTACTTCATCGATCTGCCTGTTCTGCTCCCCACTCTGTCCCTGGTGAATCCTTTCACCCTCCACATCTCTGGCCTGTACCCCAGTTCTGTATGAACAAATAAATAAATCTTTAAAAAAAAAATAGGAAAGAAATTGGTAAGGAAATTAGAAGACTGGCAGGATAACCCATCAACAGAATTTGTTATGACATCTTCTATAAAAATGAGGGTGGAAGTGGAATATTTTTCATGAAATGACATTTTTTGAAAACATCTGTCAGTGTCAACTTGCTCTTCCTATTTTTTTCTTGTTCAAACTTCACTTTTAACATACGTCTGGAGTTTCTCCTATTCAGTGGTAAATTCATCCTGTTAAATCTTTGATCATTATAACATGGCTTTGCTCCTCAGAGACATTTGTCCCTGCCTGTAATTATCTCACTGTCCTGACATAAATTGAGCACTATGTGAACTTGACGTATGTACTTCACTATCACTGCAGTCTGAAAACAAACATCATTTAGTTAATACTGACAGTCATAAATGCTGTGGTGTGGTTAGACTTTTGAATGAGCAATCTATACTTACAAAACTTAAGATTTTTCCTTTTGTGTTTTCTTTGATGTAAGCCTCACAGAACTTATGTGCTACAAGCAAATAGAACTAGGGTTTATCAGTGGAAAAGATAGGGCTTCAACGTGGCATAGTTTATTATTTAAGTTTATTTTGAAAAATAATCCTACTGTTATGGTTTCAATTAAAGGACAAATAAAGGGAACCCAAACAAAAAGTCAGGAAAAAAAGGCAGAACTAGCAGGCAAACTATAAATCTAAGACATGCAGCAGAGTAAGAGGAGGGAAAGGGGTCAAAATAGATGTGGGAAGAGCACAAGAGACTAGGGTGACAGTTAACAAGTAATTTGATGGTAGGAATTTTATGGGGGTTATACCCACAGGAGAAATTAAACATTGGACAAATATTAAATGTGATAAAATATATAAATAATGAAATTAAATTAGAAAAGAAAACTCGATTATTTAAAAAAGTACATTTTAAAATTAATTTAGAATTAATAAAGACAAGGGGATTCCCTTGTATTCTTCTCGCCCCTGTCCTGCCCTCCCCGCCCTTCCTCCTTCTTACTATTGCTCTATGACCAACTTCCGTGTTACGTCTTTTTCTTGACCTCGACAAGGAGATTTTAAAATAAAGCTACAAGTGAAAGTAGGATTTCTTACTTAGTATCTTTAATAATTTAGGAGAATTTGCATTCCCTGTTTTCAAAATCATGTTGGATTAATTCTGAGAAAACCAGTTGAAGATGAAGACTCTTTCCAAGGAAATACTGCTGTCGTTGCTTCACAGATATTTTATATCTGAAATTAGGTTGACAAAATATTTCTCATTGAATGATCTTAGAATATAGTTTCATGTTTAAAAAATTTTAAGTTGTAGTCAGTTTGCTAGACATAAATAATAGGAGATTGGAGATTAGGGAGTAAAAATTGGGTGATACACTTAAGTTTTATATTTCATGCAAAAAGCTAATCCTTATCTATATACAAATCAGTGTTACATAAGAAATGGTATTTTTATGTAAAAGTAGGTGATCAAAAATTCACTCAGTTAAACTCATTTTTTCATTAAGCCTGCATTGTCTATTTTTGGTATTCTTTAAACTGCTAAATATGTTTTTTTGTTTGTTTGTTTTAACTTAAGGCTTTCAGTCCTGATGGTCGTTGGTTAATAAGTGCTTCAATGGATTGCTGTATTAGAACTTGGGACCTCCCATCTGGGTGGTGAGTTTATTTTTATATCCTTAGACTATATCAGATGATTCCTTCCTTCCTTCCTTCCTTCCTTCCTTCCTTCCTTCCTTCCTTCCTTCCTTCCTTCCTTCCT